CACACGATTCAACAAACTGTTGAGAGAAATATTACATTAAAACAGAGGGCTAAGCCACAACACCTTTTCTTATTTGGTTTCACAATTCAGAACTCGATAAGATCTGATGTTTGTAAAAGGTTTGTTTACTCTCCCCTATCTAAAAGTCTAAGCCATGTCACGTCTTCAACAAGCCGCTCTTGGTGGTTCATTTCTTCTTTGATTCGTGTTCTTAAAATATACAATCTTGAAGAGCCTGCAAAATTTTGATAATTTTCTCATCAGAGGCCAAAGAGGTTCAAGAAGTGGATATAGCCAAGGCAAAACTTAGGTATATAGGTGCTCAGAACGATTGTGCACAATTGCTCTGATTATATCATAACTTACCCAGACATTGGTTTGACGAGTTTCGTGGTTTACCCTTCCTCGTCCTCATCGTGAGATGCGGTATTTGAAGCCATCTCCGTCTCCATTGATTGAGGCTGTACACCTATAATAAAAAAACAGAGGCCGATCAGGTTATAAGAAATGCTAAAAAGACCAAACATTTAAGAAAGATTGTACCCAAAAAAAAACATATTTTGACACTACAAGATGCCATCAAGGCACAACATTTGCCTCTAAAGTACACGTATACCTCATAGACCCATTCAGGTAAAGAACAGAGTGGCTATTCAACAAGAAGCAAAAGTACAACCATAACTATCACTACATTTCAACTTTCGACCATAAAAGAATAAGAAACCTGTTCCATTAACCGCTCTGTAATAACTTTCAAGAATTTCAGCAGACGAAGATGACGACAACTCTAGAACAAACAGAAAAGCCCTTTCTTTTACAATGCCATTTCCATCAAACTCCTTGACCAAGCCAGAGAGAACCATGAAAGAAATTTATCTATAATCATCAAAATGTAAAAAGGAAAGCTTTTTCAGATCAAGAAATGAAACAATTTCAAAGGGTATTGACTAGTTTGAAAATTGAACAATTATTCGCATCACCAAACACAATCACGATCAAAATCTAATCACGAACGATCATGGCTAAAGAAATGACATATAAACCTTTGATGAAGTAATCAGAGGAAGGCCATCCACGAGCCGATGAGATTGAGATAGATTCTTCATCAGAAATCGGATTCGCTAGCTTCTCAACAAGCTTAGCGATTCCATGAGTCTGTGATCTAGGTGGTGGGACCCAATACGAACCACCGGGAACAAAAGGGAGCCAATCAGGTGCGGATCGGCGTACCATAATCCGGTGTACAGCATCTTCTAGCTTCTGAATAAGAGGATCAGATTGCGATTGCGATTGCAAAGCTCCGGTATCGATCTCGTAAAGTTCACCGATGGAGTTAGACCGGCGATTCGAGGATTGAGATCGGAAGAAGATGGTTTGAGACGAAGGGAGGAGAGAAGCTGCGGCGAATCGGCACTTAGAGAGAGAAAGTGACGGAGAGAAAGATCTAGCCATTGTTAGAGATAGAGAAAGGTTACAAAAGGTTTGAGTTTTGAGATTCTTGTTCGATGAAATTAGAAGAAAGACAAAGATGGGTTTTTTTTTTTCTTTCTTATACTCTGATTAACGGATAAGGACCTTATTTGTCGGAATTACTTTTTTCGAGGACTTTTTATTTTTGTTCATCTGAAAATGCAACTTTTTCCCGAAAATGTTGGTTTTTTTACGAACAGGTGTATGCTTCGTGGAATTTGCAGACATCAATCAGCTCAAGTTTGTGTATGTTTGTCATTGGACGACCGATGGAAAGTTTTTGGTTTTGTAACGTTCTTCCATTATCATTTTTATACATACGAGTTTGATCATTTCCGCGGCATAAGTGAACAGTCGATGCATACATGGGACGATGAGAGATGTGGTCACAAACACTTCTTGACATTCAAATC